AATTTTTTAAAATAATTTAAAAAGCATAGAAAATGAACGTTTATTTTGCCCGGTTAATAAAAAGTCAACATTTTTTTAGTGTAATTGCTTATATAAATTACCTGGTTTTTTTTTTTTTTTCTTATTGCCTCTTTTATACAGGAAGAAAAAACCAACTATACAAGCAAGAGCAATTGCTAAAATAATAAAGAGTGTAAAAAATTGATACTTACTGTTGGCAGTTGGCTCGGGCCCGTCTGGGTTGGGGGAAGTTTCGTAATTCTCTTCTTCTCCGATTGGCGAACCAGGATTAAGGGGTGTTGGCTCGGAAATTTCTTCTTTCTCGATTGTTGAATTTTCTTCTCTTGTTAACATACTTTCGATATGTTGACAATTCATTTCTATCTCCCTCTCTTGCTGAATAATTTTGGCTCTTATCTCAGAAAATTCTTTTGCTTGCATTGCCTTCGCCCAGTCGAGAAAAACTTCGAGTTGATTCGCATCAGGAAATGCTCCACCAACTCGCTTTGCTTCGTTTACTATCTCTTGGAAAAATTCTGTCAACTCTTTTCCTTCTACCCAAACAGGTCCTTTTAAAGATTGAAAGGTAAAATCTCAATCGCTTTGACTAACATTTTTTTTCCGACTTTCATCCTCAGCTAATCAGTTTTTAAAATCCTCTATTTTGTAGGTTTGTTCTCCGAGCATTTTAGTTGTTGTTTTATTTTTGTATTTTTAACCTTCCTCGGAACAATTACTCGGTTGTTGAGAAGAAAAAATTTATCTCGCGTTGGGCCGCTTGAGGACTATCGGAGCCGTGAACAGCATTGGCCGTAATGCTCGTTCCAAAAATTTTCCTAATCGTGGCTTTCTGGGCCAGAGCTGGATTAGTCGCTCCCATAATTTCTCGGTTAATTCGGATAGCATTTTCTCCTTGTAAGCAAACAATTACCACCGGAGCACTACACATAAAATTTACCATCTCGTGAAAAAAAACCTTTTCGCGGTGCTCCCCGTAAAAAGTTGCGGCTTGTTGAGGAGTCAACTGGGTCATTTTCATTTTTATTACTCGGAGCCCTTTTGCTTCCCAGATGCTAATAATTTCTCCAATTAAACTCTTCTGAATGATATCAGGCTTGATAATAGCTAGGGTTCTTTCTGTAACCATATTTATACTTTTTAAACCATCCGCTAAATTTTTAACAAAAAGGTCCTAAGGTTAGAATATATAATTAAGTCGAAAAAGTTAGTATAGTTCTATAATTCTATCTCGTTCTGCCAAGAACTCCTCTGAGGTTATTTCTCAACTTTCAAGTTGGTCTGTTAATAAATTATCTTCATGCCTTTTCAACAAAATACTAATGATAACTGGCGGATAAATACCACAACTTCCCCAACCGTCACCGCTTTGCTGCGGACATTTTGCCTCTCTTAATTCGTCATCATTAATATTATTATCTTTAATAAACTTAAAATTATATCCACCCAAAGAATCATAATGATAAAAAGTATCGTTGCTTTTTTTATAGACTAACAAGGAGTGGTGAAAGTTATTGACATTGACCGGAACAAAAATAATTTCCTTCCTTTCCTCACTGGGCTTGTTTCTTTCCTCTTTAATTCAGTTTAAACCTCTTTTTTGTGGTTTTTTGCTTAACTTCTCTTTGAGAGGAAAAAAATGACCGGTCGGGACTAGATAAAAATCATTGCTGGTGAGAATCTGTTCTTCTTCGGGAACAAACATGTTAATAATCTTATCCATTTCGTCGGTGTATAGTCAACGGCGAGGCACCCGAATTTTGGAGCCTACTAGCTCTAATTTTTTTTCCTCTTGTTGTGATTGGTAAATAATTATTCCAACTCCCGCACCAAAAATAATAATTAGAGCGGCCAGTAATGAAAAGATAATTAGTAGTTGTTTTTTTTTTTTTTTTGCCATGACATGTTAAATAAATCCTTTTTTTTGGTGTGCTTGGGGGGAATTGAACCCACCGACCATTTGAACCGCAATCAAATATTCTCTCCACTGAACTACAAGCACTTTACTTATAATTTTTAGCAAAGTTGTTATCAAGTATTACAAAATGCGAAATTGTCTAGTTCCTAGTATTCAAGGGAGTTGGTTGAATAAGGAACTAAAATATAATCCTCCCAAAAAATTTTGGCTGTCTTTGACAAAACTACGATTACAAAGTAATTTAAAAAATTAGTCAAAGGTGAAAATTAGTTTTTTGAAGAGTAATAAGAATAGCAAAAAGCAATTACTAGCCACAAAAAAATACTGACGTTCTAATCTGTTTAAACCTCTCACTCTCAAACTTTAAGCAAATTTGTTGACGAAATTACTGACATTTATTTTGCCCGAGTAATAAAAAAACCAACCAAAATTTTTTAGGGTAATTTCTTATATAATTGCCAAAGTAAATATTAATTTTGTCTTTGCTTGGGTCTCAAAAAACCGCCTTAATTAGCAAAAACAGACCCACCACGACTTAAATTTCCTCTATTTCTCCTCTCCTTCCTTTTTATTTTTTCCTTTTCAGTAATTAACAACTGAAAACAAAAGATTAGTTAAAGCAATAAGAACCAAACAAACCAGTAAAAATATTCCGAGGTTTCCGTAAAATTTAAGGTTTTCCTCTCTTTGCTTTGCTAATGATGCTTTTTTGCCTTGTTCTTGCACCAAGAACAATGCTATTGATACTTGCTGTTCTTGTTCTTCCAACTTCTCTCTTTCCTCGTGGCCCAACAATTCATATTTACCTAATCATTCCTTTAATTCTTTTTCTCCGACCCCTCTTTTATTAAGAATGAAAGGAATACTATTTTTAAAAAAAGTTCAACCGATAACACTATCACCCTGTTCAGTTTTAATTTGGTTGTCGAAAATGTTACCTAATTTTTGAGTGGTTTCTGCTTCGGTAATATAAAGATTGAAAGCTTTTCCAAGAGCCTGATACTGCTCGGGGGTGGCTGATTTTTCTTCGTATTTTCTTGTCTTTTCATCATAAAGCTGAAAAAAAGTTTTAGCACGGTTTGGAAACATTTCGTCTCACTTTTTGTTCTCAAAATTTAATGATAAATTATCGTGGGTAACAGTATAACCGTCGTCGTTTTCTGGTTCTTTCCGTTTTTTTTTCTATCCCTTCCGAAAAGTTGTAATATTTTTTGTCCTCTTCGGTTATTTCATAATTTCTTTCATTATCCTCATAATCTTGACAACTTTTATAAAAATCAATAAAAGTTTGTTCGTGGCCCTCAATTCCATAGCGAGCAGCAGCGTCGGGGTGAAAAACTAGTGTATCTTCCTTATCGTAATTTGCTGTTTTTTCTAAAATATTCGCTTCTAACCAATTTTTATAATTTTCCCAATTCATATTACTATACTACTAATTATTCTTATATTTTTTACTAATTTTAACTATGTTTGGTCTATTACTAGTTTTTGTAGTCGTTTGTGGTCGTGCTTGTAGGCTGTGTGTTCTTGTGTTTTTGTATATTACTCTCTTAATAATTAATATCAGTCAATCATTCCCTTTAATCCCTAATAATGGTTTAAGGGGTCAGAGGTTTAAAATACTAACTATTTAATTTTTAACTTTGTAATATAATTGCTAAAAAATTTGTTATTTTGGCCTAGTCTAGGTGGTTCAACTAATTTTGAGGTTATTTTGGTCTTTTTATTCCTTTGGTTCTGTTAAATTTTCTTATAAGCCATGACACCTTGCGATTTAAGCTGAATATTTCCCTGCTGTGTCGTTTTACTTTTCTTCCTCGTTCGTTATTTTTTGTATAAGAATTAATATATTAACTACAATTACAATGCTTATAATAATTTGCTTATAACCCTCAATATTTAAGGAAAATTAGCAACAAAATACTGACGTCTAGTTTCTGTGCTGCAATAATAAGTCTTAATAAATCCCACCGTCAAATTTTCCAATTTAGTGCTTTTTAGCAACTCGTTTTAATTCCTTAAAGGTTATTAAAAATAGGGTCCGTTTTCATAAAAACCTTCCTTAACGCTGTGCCGGCAGACAAAAAACCACTGCGATAAATGACAACATTAATAAGGCATAAATATTCCGTAAAAAAAGCATTAATTTAGTAAAGTGAGTTCTTTTACTAATATTCTCTTTTCTTTCGGTTGAAGGAGAAAAGTCATCTTCTTCATTAGCAAAAATCCACGAACAAACTATAATTATTATCGCTAGTATTGCGAGAAGGATTTTTAACTTTAACATTATAGTTTAATTTTGGTGCGGGACGAGGGACTTGAACCCTCAC